CGCTGCCGATCTGGGATGGGATTTTCACCTCGGTTCCCTCCACAGCTGGGAAAGTATCCCGCTCTGTAAAGGGATCCTAGGAGAGAATAGACTAGTGTGACCGCCTCTTTAATCGTTACTTCCTCATACCCTCTTTCCCTCATTATCTATTTATTTATTAATATGATCTATTATCTATAATATATATATAATGTGTGTGTGTGTGTACTTCTCCATATATCAATCTATCTATCGCCTCATCTTGAGCCACCCCCTTCCCTGCTCGTCGAATCCCCCTTCACACCACACACACACCAGGGCCTTACGATCCCCATTTCCTCAGATGCGCCACCTCCTCGTACTCGGAGTCATCGCGGCGGACATCCTCCTTGTCTCGGACGGTTTTATCTTGAAGGACGATGATGTTATACCTATTTTTCCCGACTTTCCTGCCCCGTTTATCCCGACGCTTGGGGTCATAGCGGCCAATGGGTTGATGCCTCTGTTCAGGGCGACGCTGTATGCATTGGAGGTGAGGATATGCTTAGTCTTGTATGCTGATTGTTTTCGACGAAGGAAGTGGAACGACTGTGAGTGTGTGTGTGTGTGAATGAATACGTTTGTGTGGATATGAGTGTGTGTTATATTAATGATACGATGTGATAATGATGATAACAATAACAAAAATAGAGCAATAGTGATAATGAATGATAATGATAATGATGATGATAACAGTAATAGAAATAACAACAATGAAAATCTTGTCGATACTGGTAATGATGATAATAGAAATAATCAAGAACGATAATGATAACAATGATGATACTGATGATAATAACAATACTGACAATAACACTGATGATAGTGATGATGAGGGTGATATTAATAATTATAATGTCAATGATGATGATACTAACAAAAATCGATATCAAAATAATGATAATGATCAAAATGATAATATAAATTATGATAACTGTAATGATAAAAATAATACTCCAAATAATTATGATAATGACAGTAACAATAAAAATGATAGAAAAGATAATGATAATGATATTGATTATAATATCAATTACAATTAGGATGATTATGACAATAACAATGTAATAGTGATAATGATAATAACACTAGTAATAATAATAATAATAATAATAATAATAATAATAATAATAATAATAATGATAATAATAATAATGATATGATAATATAACAGCAATAATGATAACAACAGCAGCAATAACAATAAAAATTATTATAAAGTAATGATAACATCAATTATAATAATAATGTTGAGAAGAGATGATGAAGCAAATAATAGTGACAATAATAACAATAGTAACAAAAACATTGATAAGAAAGATAATAGAAATTATAATGATAATGTTAATAATAATAATAATGGAAATGATGCTTATGCTGATAATAAGGATATTAATGATGATGATACTATTAATAATGAAAATTATGAAGATGATATGGGTAATGATAGTGATGATAATGATTATGATTATCATCACTGTCATTATTATTATTATTATTATTATTATTATTATTATGATTATTATTATTATTATTATTATTATTATTATTATTATCATCATCATCATCATCATTAAGACCATTATCATTGTTATTATTATTATTATTATTATTATCGTCATCATTATCACAATAATGACAATGATAATAATGATGATAACAATCATTTTTTATTATTATTACTATTATTATTATTATCATTATTTATTATTGCTATTATCATCATCATCAACATCGCTATTATCATTTTATCATCATCATTATCATTATCATTATTATCATTATTGTTACTATTATCATTAATCATGCTTATCATAAACATTATACTGGTAATTGTAATGATCACAATGAAAATAGTTATAACAATAGTAATAATGATAATGATAATAATAGTAATGTTCATAGTAATGATGATAACAGTAGCAGAAATTATGAGAATAGTAATAATAATAATGATATTGATACTACTACTATTACTACTACTAATACTAACAACAACAATAATAATAACAAAAACTCTACTACTAAAAGAAATGATAATAAAAATAACAACAAAAATAATGATAATGATAATAATCATACTTATAACAAATATATGATAATCATCATAATGATACTACTACTGATAATAATGATAATGATAATGATAATAACAACAGCAATAATAGTAATGATGATCCTGGTATCAATAATGATAATGTTAATAGCAACAAAAACAACAACAATGATAATGATAGTGATAATAACAGAAAGCTAAAAATAACAAAAATGCATCTTGTTTGTCGTCCGATTCCCTGAATATTTCTCTCTCCCGCCACACAGACTGCCTTCCTCATCGCGGTGTTCGTAACAGGAGGCCAAGAACGCCGGAGGAGATCCACCTCAGAAGAATCAGCGAATCCCGAATCCTTCCTGCTCGCCGTTGTCAGCCGCCTGGACACTCACGGCTGCGTCCTCAAGTTCCTGTGTCAGCTGCAGGCCGAATCCCCCGACGCGCTCTCGGCCGACGAAAGGTTTCTCGCCGAAGTGTTTGGCGACCATCTCGAGGTTCTCGCCAAGGACAACGGCGTCGCGGAGGGATATGGCGGCGATGGCCAAGGGCGGGACGGGGCTCCGTGCGGCGCCCCGGCTGATCGGTGTCCGTTCGGAGGAACTCTGCTGAGGAGTCTGTGGCGCCGCGTCTGGGAGGTCTAAGGGTATAAGTGTAAGGTCTTGAGGATGTGAACTTTATTTTTTGTACTTAATCATAATTGTGAACTAGATCGAAATGCACATTCCGTAAAATTTAATGATTACGACCAATAAAGTTCCATTTCACACATTGCACACACACCATTACACTCCTCTGCTGTGTGTGTGTGTGTTGTGTGTGTGTGTGTGTGTGTGTGTGTGTATAAACACACACACACACACACGCACGCACACACACACACACACACACACACACACACACACAACAGCACACACACACACACACACACACACACACACACACACACACACACACACACCACACACACACACATACACACACACACACAACACACACATACACACATACACACATATATAGTATATATAATATATATATATATATATATATATATATATATATATATATATATATAATATATATATAATATATATACAGTATATGTGTGTGTGTATGCAAATATTTGTTTTTTTACTTATCTCTATATTTAATTGATTTATTTAATAATTAATTCATTTATTTACTTTTATATATGCACACATATAATCCATATCTTCTTTTCATGTTATCTTCTATGTTAGGCACTTTGTTACACAATTGTTGATTTAACTTTTTCTTTTTTTTTTGTGCTGGTGCTTTGGAAATGTTAGCGTGGGGTAATCGTCCATTTATTCACGTACATTCATATTTCTTATCCATTGTTATTACTGCTGTTACTTCCTATTTCGTTTTTGTTTGAGGTGCACATTGATCAGTAATCTAGGACGTGTTAAACATTTAAACATTTAGCAGTGATGTTTTTTTTCCACTGATGTATTGCATTGTTTACAGTGAAAAACAAACAAAAGACTTTGCATGTAAGTTCAGATAATTAACTGATGATCACATGTTAGCCTTTTTAGCAGCATTTGATTATAAAACTATTTTTCCTTGTTTTTCTTAGTTTATTTACTTTACTTTCTGTTGTGCTTCATGGCAATGTATTTATAAATAATATAAATAATGTGGATATTGTCTCCTTTATTCACCCTTTCATGATATTTTACCATATGTTTGTTTTACGTGTCTCTCTCTCTCAGTCTCTGTGGTATTGTCCTTGTCATTGTGTTTTTATTTTTGTTCTTCTGTACCCTTTCTCTCCTCTCTCTCTCATCCTCTCTCTCATCCTCTCTCTCGTTCTTTCTTCTCTCTCTCTCTTTCTCTCTCTCTCTCTCTCTCTCCCTCTCTCTCTCTCGTCTCCCTCTCTCCTCTCTCTCTCTCTCTCTCCTCTCTCCCTCTTCTCTCTTCCTCTCTCTCTCTCTCTCTCTCTCTCTCTCTCTCTCTCTCTCTTCGTCTCTCTCTCTCTCTCTCCATCTCTTCTGCCTCTCTCTCTCTCTTCTTTCTCTCTCTCTCTCTCTCTTTCTCTCTCTCTTTCTCTCCTCTCTCTCTGCTCCTCCTCTCTCTCCTCTCTTTCCTCTCTCTCTTCTCTCTTCTTTCTTCTCCTCTTCTCTCTCTCTCTCTCTCCTCTCTTCTTCTCCCTCTCTCTGTCCTTCTTCTCCCATCTCTCTCGTCCTCTCCTCGTCTCTTCTCTCTCTTCCTCTCTCTCCTCTTCTTTCTTTCTTCCTCTTTCTCTCTCTCTCTCTCTCTCTCTCTCTCTCTCCTCGTCTCTCTCTCATCTCTCTCTTCTCTCTCTCTTCTCTCTCTCTCTCTCTCTCTCTTCTCTCTCTCTCCTCGTCTCTCTCTCTCTCGTCTGTCTGTCTCTCTTTTGGTTTATTGATTTTTTGTACTTACTTTAATCATTCACATTTTGTCCATTTCACAAGTTCCTGGTAAGAATATGTTTTACTTCCTATTCTGTATACACATCTGAAATTGTTACATATCAATGTGTAATGCAGAAAAAATACAAATAAATGTGTATAAACTTATATCATGTATTTCTAAAACCTGAACATTTTTTTGAAGATATGCCATTCTACCAATACGAATATACATCTTTCTTGTTTCACTTCCACCATTTTCTGTTTCTTACTTCCTTTCCCCCTCTATTTCCTGTTTTCGAATTCCAATCTATATTTAACTTTTTTTTTTTTTCTCTCCAACCATTTTTCTCTCTCTGTCTGTGTCCATATCTCTTTTTCATTCATCTGTCTCTCCCTCTCTCTCTCTCTCTCTCTCTCTCTCTCTCTCTCTCTCTCTCTTCTCTCTCTCTTCTCTCTCTCTCTCTCTCTCTCTCTCTCTCTCTCTCTCTCTCTCTTCTCTCTCTTTCTCTCCTTCCCTTCTCTTCCCT